TTGGGCTTAGATGCTCTCTGGGTACTCTGAATATCTCTAGTGCTGAAATTAAACCTTAAAAATGAGTAGCTATAACAGGAACGATAGAATTTTCGATGATCTGGGCCTGATAAAATATAGAATTGCGAAGGTTTATATTATTTGATAAAAAGTTTACAGAAGTGTTTAATCAAATAAAGCTTGAGATTATAGTGGAAAAGCGCAAGATTTTAGAGAAGTGGCTTGAGCATGAGGTTTGTTAAAAAAACGTGAGGTTCACGCCGGATGCGTGAGACTTGGTATGATATTGGCCTAATAATATATTGACTATATTTTTGATTTATTTTCTTTGGTATAGGCCTAAGAATGATATAAAATCAGCTGACCTTTTTTAAGAGGGGTAAAACCTTGAATTTTGAAGAAATTAAAGGCCATTAAAAGATACCTCAGAAGTCGGGAAAGCTCATATTTCCGGTCATCCGGACCCCCTTCCCCCTTTCATTTTTGGGTTTATGAGAAAATGAAACCCACTATTTCAAATCCTGGATCCGCCCCTGGAAAGGGAATTATACACTGATCATTTATTGCCATTACACCTAAACAACATAATACATATTTCGGCGATATAGACCAATATAAAGTCATATGACACAAAAGATCAAAAGGTCAAAAAATCAAACTTACCAAAAGTTGTCGTATTTAGTATCATTTAAAAGCTCTGCCAATGATGAGTTATGTTTTCCGGTATATACATATCAGAAACTGTAGTTTTTCATATATTGTCCTGTAAATCTAATTATCAAATAAAACAAAATCCCACAAACACACTCTTTGGCTGATTTATTAGAAGAGGTCAGTCCAACTACGACCCATCATTTTACTATAAAGGTTTGACCAGATATGTACACCTGTGTACTTTCTGGGGAAATGCTTAGTTCCTCCAAATCCAAATGAACCCAGGATAGGCCAGGGGCCCCACTCTTACTCTATGGTGGCCAAGGCAAATACAGTATGTTGTGTTTTCCTACTTATTGGTAATTCTACATACATGAACAATGGACCGCAAGTTACATGCTGTATAATATATTTGATTGGGTGATTGATTTGTTATAACATTAATAGACATGGTCCTCCCAGTGGTGCAACGACGAGTTGTGGTTCCCGGGCCGAAACAATGTTATGAGCACCATGCATATCAGTAAAATATTTTTGCTCACGAAGTGACACCGGGGTGGGTAATTCCCCTAGAGATAAGTGTTAAGGATGAAAAGACTTTAATTATTAGACAGTGCCAAAAAATGTTTTGTGAATAATATTTTACACACACATTTTTTATTTGAATATTTGCGTGCAAAATATATATATATATA